TCAATATAAAAAACCATATATTTGTAATTTTAAAAATAAAATAATTTCTAATGTATACAAGCAAAGCTTCCTTAAAATTTTGTGTCTGTACTTTTTTTATTTGTAATTCGGAATGAGATATACAAAGAACCGTAAAATCAGGACTTTTAGGATACATTAACAATTATTTTATTACATAATTTTCCTAGATTTTTTTCTAATCCTTCTAACATTTTTTCGTCAATTCAAATTATAAAACTTGACTCTGTGTATAAATAAATATAAAAATATATTGGAACATTGCTGATATCAAAAATAAAAATTTTATTCAATTCTTTTATAAAACTAAAGTCTTTGAAATAAAAGAATATAAATCTGAAAACACAGTAAAATAGATATACAGATGTATATTGAAATTTACGAACCAAGAGCTAACTACATTTTATCAAAACGATTTGCCTCAGTCTCATCTAAAACTAAAAGTTTCCAATTCAAATTAAACTCCGCATTAAAATTGCACAGAACCAACATATATTTCGATTTGCAATTTGCGAAATCCATTACCAAATATTTGCAACTTTAATTATCAGCCATTGTCATTTGAATACGACGGCCGGCCTAAGCCCACAAACAATGCAGTGAGGCGATAAGAGCTAATGTGCCATGTGTGCTCGACGCTGATAACATGACGCAGGTTGCCCTCCTGGCTGCCTACCTCACTCAAGCTGTTAGCTGCCACCCACAGCGCGAATAATTGCAATACCTAACTTAACCCCATGGGATATATGCATAGGCAGGTGCAAATTATGGCCACAATTTTCACGAAATGCAGTTATAAACCAAATGCAATTTTAATTAATAGACCAAACTCGAATTCCGTGCAACATTTCCTGCCGCACACTAAAATGTTTGACATAAATGTCTAACCGCAGCAATGTCGTATCCAACATATCCGCAACAGTTGTGGGTGTGTGTGTGAGTGTCTGTGTGAGTTTGTAACTGTAACTACTAACATATAGAAACTTGAATCTGGTTAACCCATAAACACACACACACACACATACATACACATGCCCTAACTGACAGCCAACTTCCACAACTGTGCATGTGTGTGTGTGTGTGTATATGCAATTTCCGTTTCCGCCTTATTCCACATGATTAGGCTGATGAGCACTCTTCAGCAGCTGGTGCTCATGTGAGTGTGTGGCTGAGCACCGGCTGAGACTGGCAGGCGAATGCTTCACGTTCACGTTAACGTTAAAAGGTTTGTTGGTCAAAATATCTAGCACAGGACAAGGCAAAGGCAATATAAATAGCAAGAAAACGAAGAAGCAACCAAAAATCAATTCAACAACTGCAGAATGTGAGCAATTTTTAAAATGCATAGGTAATTCCAGCAAAGCAGCATGCATGCATAATTTAAAGAAAAGGGAGAGCTACACAGCAGATTTGATTTCAAGAATCTTTTTCAAAGGAAATACTAAAATAGTAATTTACATAAAAGAGACTTCCTTTTCATTCAGCCAAAGGACAAAATCAAAGACAGGAATATAAAGAAGAAACAATATTGTTGAAAATATTAAGGTTTGTACAGAATTGTAGCAGCTCTTCAGATATTTCATGAGTGTAATTGTACAATATTTAAAATTTAAAATAACAAATTATGTATTTAAATATATCATAGCTATACAGAAAAATAAATGAAAAACGAGATATTAAAACGAACGAGTATATATATAATACTTAGTAAAATCATGAAAATATAAGAAAAATTAAGAAACAAAAAAAAATTATAGCTCATTAGATAAAATTAATTATGTACATATCAATTTGAAGACCTTAATAGCCTAGCTCATAGCTATAATTATAGTTAATTGT